CCACTCTTCACCAATGGCAATGCTGGCTAGAAACAAGAAAAGCTGTACTCTATTAACATCTAGAGGCCACAAATCAACCACCTATGACTTAGATTGTAATAGTTTCATCTGCTTCAATATTATTTTTGATTGGCTTCAGCAAATCTGAGAAATGCTAACATTCTATATAGGTGTGTGTCTTCAAGTCACCTGTCAACCTATAGTGACCCCATTAATTTCATAGGGTTTTCTTAGGCAAGGAATATTCAGAGATAGTTTTGTCGATTCTCTCCTCTGAAATATACCAACTAGTGCCTGCTATTTGTTGCTTGTCTCCTATGTAAGCACCAACCTCTTCCCAAGATCAGACAGGATCTGGTGATATTCAGGCCTTGTATACATCCATGTCTTGAAAGAAATGGTCATACAGCCTTGGTTTGGGACACCTTGAGTCTCAACAAACTGATCAATAAATACCAATTTAAAACTCTACCTGATGGTAAACTGCTTGACAGTGGTGGTGACCTTGGTGGATTCACCTTCAGTAGAAGTTTTCAGAGGTTGGGCAGTCAATTGTGCTTTATCTATGGATTTCTGCTCTACCAAGACATTGGACTAGATGGTGTTTGAGCTATCTTTCAATGTTATTGTTATCTCTTATTCCAGTGGTTTTCCAACCTTTGATCTTTCAAATGTTTTGGATACAAATCCCATAATTCCTGATAGCTAGTCAAGCCAGCTAGAGCTTCTGGGAGCTGAATTTCAAAAGTCATGGAGGACCAACGATTGAGAACCACTGTCAGTCTAGTGGTTTGTTGGGCCCTTTCAATTGATCTCATTTATATCACTTACTATAGCATCCACAAAATAACCCCCGGATATGAAATCTGCCTCGTATTTCCAACCCACAGAATAGCTGTCTCACATTTACTGCTGAATAGTGAGCTGGTCAACTTCATCTCTGAACAGAGAATAAATGGATTGTTAGTACACACATAACATTTATTTGCACAGCAATTTCCAGTTTTTCATGTTGCTCTCTGTTCTCTTCCTGGAATTCTTAAAAACTGTGAATAATAATGTCATGTTTACCTTATCCAGTGCTGCTTGCACTATGGATTCACTCTGGTTATCCAGAGCAGAAGTAGCTTCATCCAGGAGCAGGATCTTGGGGTTTCTGGCAAGGGCACGAGCAATAGCAATGCGCTGTTTCTGACCTCCACTCAGCTGAGCTCCCCTTTCCCCAACCATGGTGTCAAATTTCTGGTATATTCAAAGTACAGAAAACAACAGATATTTTATTTTTAGTTCAACAAACAAGAAAAGGTGATTTCAATCCAAATAAATGCATTATATATAATCTACAGCATACATCTCCACAAGCCAGGAAGATTTTCTGCCTTTGTTTGTGTTTGCAGGATACAACAGGGAAAAATCAAGAAATCTTTCTTTGCGGCCAATATTGTGTCCGCAAAGAACCATCCAGCAGAGCTGTTTCAAGTTGTCAGAGGCCTTTTAAATCCCACCATCCAAGATGGGAGCCCTGACAACTCGGCAGCCTGCTGTGAAGCTTTTGCTCAGTTCTTTGCAGACAAAGTCGCTTTGATCTGTTCTGGTCTGGACACCATGTTAACGGCAGTCTCTGAGGATGTAACATGAGCATCTGCTTGTCTGATTTTGATGGATTCATTTCAATTGGTGAAACCTGAGTATGTGGACAAGATATTTGGAGAAGTGAGGCCAACTACATGCATCCTAGACCCCTGTCCATCCTGGCTTTTAAAGGAAGCCAGAGGGGGATTGGCCGAGTGGGTAAAGGTGGTGGTTAATGCTTCCCTTCAGGAAGGCAATATTCTGGCGAGCTTAAAACAAGCTATAATAAAATCGTTGTTGAAAAAACCATCACTGGACCCCACTAAATTTGACAACTATCGGCCTGTTTCCAATCTCCCCTTTTTGGGCAACATGTGACAGCTTCACAACTCCAGGTATTCTTGGAAGACACGGATTATCTGGATCGGGCCATTCTGGCTTTAGACTGGGGCATGGAACCGAGACAGTTTTGGTCACCTTAGTTGATAATCTACGCCAGGAGCTAGACAGGGGGAATGTGTCCCTGTTGGTTGTGCTGGACCTCTGAGCAGCCTTTGATACCGTCGACCATGGAATCCTTCTGAGAAGTCTTTCTGGGATGGGCCTTGGAGGTACTGTTTTACAATGGCTCTGGTCCTTCCTGGAGTGTCACACCCAGAATGTGTTATTGGGGAACACCTGTTCAACCCCACAATCATCGTCTTGCGGGGTTCCTCAGGGTTCAATATTGTCTCCCATGTTGTTTAACATCTACATGAAGCTGCTGGGGGAGATCATCTGGAATTTCGGGGTACGGTGTCACCTGTACGCAGATGACGTCCAACTCTGTCACTCCTTCCCACCTTCTACTAAGGAGGCTGTTCAGGTCCTGAACCTGTGCTTGGCAGCTGTGACGGTCTGGATGAAGGTGAACACATTGAAAATGAATCCAGACAACACAGAGGTCCTCCTGGTCAGTCGCAAGGCCGAAAAGGGCATAGGGTTACAGCCTGTGTTGGATGGGGTTACACTCCCCTTGAAGACGCAAGTTTCAGCTTGGGTGTGATCCTGGACTCATCACTGAGCCTGGAACCCCAGGTCTCGGCGGTGACCAGGGGAGCGTTTGCTCAGTTAAAACTTGTGCGCCAGCTGGGAAGTCTGACTTGGGAAGTCTGACTTGGCCATGGTAGTCCACGCTCCGGTTACATCCTGTATAGACTACTGCAACGCTCTCTACATGGGGTTGCCTTAGAAGACTGTTTGGAAGCTTCAACTGGTCCAACGGACGGCAGCCAGATTACTAACAGGAGTGGCGCTCAGGGAGCATACAACTCCTCTGCTGCTCCAGCTCCACTGGCTGCCAGTTTGCTACCGGGCACAATTCAAAGTGCTGGCTTTAGCCTATAAAGCCCTAAACAATTCTGGCCCAACTTACCTGTCCGAATACATCTCCCCTTATGAACCATCTAGGACGTTAAGATTGTCTGGGGAGGCCCTGCTCTCGACCCCGTCTGCGTCACAAATATGTTTGGTGGGGACGAGAGACAGGTCCTTCTCAGTGGTGACCCCTCTGCTATGGAACGCCCTTCCTAGGGACATAAGATCAGCCCCCTCCCTTTTGACTTTCTGAAAAAAGTCAAAACCTGGCTATTCGAGCAGGCGTTTTGAAAAGGCAATGTAGTTAGACATAGGATCATGGAACAATTGGTTTATGAGATTGGATTATGTGTTTATCTTGGAGACGAAATGATTGTTTTTATTATTGTCTTGGTTTTACTTGATGTGTTAATGCTTCTTAATGTTTTAATGTTTTTATGATGTTGTTGGCATTGAATTGTTGCTTTGTGAACGGCCTCGAGTCGCCTGTGGGCTGAGAGGGGCGGTATACAAATGTAGCAAATAAATAAATAAGTAAATAAAAGAAAAATTACATTTTTATTTTCCACACCCTCCATCTTTTAAAAAGATTACAGTGTTTTTACACTGAAACCAACGTGAACAAATTGTTATGTGTCTGTTCTAGGATCTGGTGTCAATCAAGAGTTGGTTAGAGGCCATGCCTCTTTCTCAGATATCAAAATGTATCTGCTGGAATAGAGCTGGTTTTGGATGTTTCAGTTGGGAGGAAGATTTCAAAGTTGTCTTTGTTGTCACTCTCTGTGCATCCCCAGAGGAGGAGGTCCAAGATTTCCTACACTTGTTGGAATAACCCTGCATCATAAGATTCCAATGCAAATCTGTCTGGTATTGACTTAACTTGTCAGACATCTAGGGAGTGGTGATTGTGAGGGATGATTCAGAGCAGTCTTTTGATCTTTATAATGAATGGGGGAATTAAGCATGAATGGGAGGACAAAGGAACCTATTTCTGTTCATGTTAGCAGAAGAACAGCCTTCTGAAATGTCAAATTGTAGACTATTTTATCAGATACTCACATCAGGAAGTTTTGATATGAAGTCATAAGCATTGGCTTCTTTAGCTGCTTGTTCAATCTCAGCATCAGTAATATCCTCTCTGCCATAGCGAATATTGCCTGCTATTGTGGTAGCAAACAAAATAGGTTCCTGGCTTACAATGCCAATATTTTCTCTCATCCATTTGAGATTGAGTGTACGAATATCATGCCCATCTATGATAATCTAGGGGAAGATTCAAAAAGGTTGCAAGAAGTATAAAAGAAGATTTTAAATGAGGATAATGAAAAAAGATACAACTTTGCAGGATAGAAAGTAATTTAAATGTCAAGATCAGTAATATGCTGGGACCTGGCAAAATTAATGTTCTGTCATGGCATTAGCAATACTTTTTAAAATACATGTTGAAAACAGCCTAGGTGAGTTGTGTTTAGGTTCTTTTGAAGTCATCGGAATTGTTGTTGTTGTTCATTCGTTCAGTCATTTCCGACTCTTTGTGACTTCATGGACCAGCCCACACCAGAGCTCCCTGTTGGCAGTCACCATCCCCAGCTCCTTCATCAGGATTAGTTAGTCATAAGTTCTGACTTAGTTGGAATCCAACTCTTTTTATGTTGTTTGTTTGGTCCTCTCTCACCCCATTAAGTTTATATTTTCCCCATTATGGCTTCTGTTGGATGAATACAGATTCTAGTAGTAGTCTTACCAATCAATCAATCAATCAATCAACCTATTCCAATGAAAATGGCTGGATATATACATAATCAATTGCTTTTAAGAGCTGTTGTAGTCAGTAAGCAAGTATGGATCCACAGCCCTTGTTGCTGTTGTTGTTAAGTGCCTTCAAGTTGAGTCTGAAGGTGACCCTCTCCTGGAGTTTTCTTGGCCAAATTTGTTCAGGAGGGATTTCACATTGCCTTTTTCTAAGGCTGTGAGTTGCCCAAGGTCACCCAGTGAGTTTCTGCAGTCAAGTGGAGAGTCAAAATCTATTCTCTCAGAGACCTACTACATTCAAACTAGTTGCAGAGCTGGAGAAGTAGGATAATCCAAAGAACATTTTCTGTGTACTTAGGTATCTCATCCTCCTTCCCTTCCATCAACAAAACTGAAATTACAACTATCTTGTTCTATTAACTCCAAAGGAATGCAATTAACTTATTATCATGTTAATCTGTGGCGTTTACATTTTTACACCCTGAAATGATTTTGCATACTTAACAGTAAAGCAAGAGAAAATCAATACATTACTACAGCCCAATGTGAGAGACATATTCTAGGCTGGTTCCAAAACTCCAACCCGCAGGCATCCTGCTATTCACCCTATGCTTGTTCCATTATTATTCTCTCACTAAATTGGGTTTCTGGGCTTCAAGATGACTCTTTCAAAGTGGATTTGTGGTTATGATGTTGTGTTGGTTCTTAGGTTTTTGGTATTTATGGCCTGACTCTAGTTCAGGCTTGACAATCAGCCAAATATAGGTTTAATGACAAATGATTTATTGGAAACAGTAATAAAATATATTGAACCCTAATATTCTATTCTTTAAGTTCCTCACAAACCATATGTAGGGTTCCTTATTTCTTGAACCCTGAGCCCTCTGTCTATCAGTTTGAACCACTGAGTTCTAACTGCAAACCCCGACTATATGAAATCCACACTTTGGCTGCTTATTCCTGAGGCAAGCCTCTACTTTCTGATAGATTCAGTTCCCCTGCAACCCATTTCTCAACCTCATAAGTTGTGGGTTGCGATGAGTTTTCTGGGCTGTATGGCCATGTTCCAGAAGCATTCTCTTCTGACGTTTCACCCACATCTATGACATGTATCCTCAGAGGTTGTGAAGTTTGTTGGAAACAAGGCAAGTGGGGTTTATATATCTGTGGAATGTCCGGGGGGGGGGGGGGGGGGGGGGGGGGGGGGGGGGAGAAAGAATTCTTGCCTGTTTAAGGCAAATGTGAATGCTATTCTCATGAGTTGTGTTTGGCTGCCTTTGTGTCATATCTGCCTACTACTTCCTTCACACTCATTTTACCAGGTTGCATCTAATCAGAATAAAATATAAAACATGTGTAAGAAAACGATTTCTCAATGCATAGATAGAAAGTATCTGTGAGTCTCTGGGAATTACATGCACCTCATTCCTTTGGATGGAAACATGAGACAGCAAAACAGGAAATGCAAAAACTATCTCACACTTGCCCTTTGGAGGAGTTTATGATGAGAAAAGAAACTTTTAAATCAGAAAGTGTATTGACTAAATGTTAAGAACAGTGAGACACTTCACACATACATGCTTTCTGGCTGACCATAATGCACTTCATTCTCTGCACTACGCAGAGTCAATGTCATCAGAAGAGGCTTTGGAAAAACACAACGTGAACAAGTTTTATCTGAAATCTGCTTCATCAGCAGTGACTCGTTCATTTTGTTTGTTATGGGGGGATCATTTATTGATTGCAGAGATCAGTCACTGCAACCTTCCAGACTGCCATTCCCATAATTCCTCCTCTTTGGCTGTGCTGGCTGGGGATGATGGAAGCTGAAGGCCACCAATATCTGGAAGGTCAATGTAGCTTACCTCTGATATTCCAGGAAGTACAGATTAAAAATTGCACTTAAAATAATTTAAAGTATTTTTACTGGGTTAGCTAACAAAATGGCATGAACACAGATAATATTATAGAGCAATGTCAAAACACACATTTAAAGAAGCTGTTTTTAAGCACACATAAACACACACAGAGTTGTGTTTAGTCCAATGGCAAGTTTTATGCTGTGTCAATCAAAGGTACCTGTCCTTCAGCTGGATCATAGAATCTCTGCAGTAGTTGAATTGTAGTGCTTTTCCCACAGCCACTAGAACCAACAAGAGCAATGGTCTTCCCTGGCTGGATTTTTAAATTCAGACCTTTAAGAATCTGGAAATAATCAAAATCGGGGTTTAAACCACAGGTGGACTTTTTGTGACCTAGAACAGGGTTTCTTAAACTTTTTTCACTCGTGACGCCTTTCCACTCAAGAAATCTTTTCATGATCCTGGGTATGTAACTTTACAAAGTAGGTATAAAATGAAACATTTACTGATATTAAATCAGTACTTCCAAGGCTTGCTAAACAGGTTGATTTTTTTAAAAATGAAGTATAGATGGAGCATTTTTGCAGAATCTACTATGAACACTGCTCATTGTTAATAGATTTGTGTAAATGTCTATGTAACACCCAGAAACCTTTTACTGTTGCCAATTTTTTCATGACCCCATCATGAGCTAAAAAACAGTACCTAAGAAGACCCCTCACCTGTCCTTCCAACCCTCATTTCAACAAGTAGACTAATATTACAATGAAACTAAATATGACCTTCAAAGGTGGAAAGTGGTATTATATAGTAAGCAGACACAGTCCGCTTTTGTAGCAAGAAATACAATTATTTATTATGTAAAAGATTGTTATTGTTGTTGTTTATATGTTCGGTCGCTTCTGACTCTTTGTGACCAGTCCATGCCAGAGCTTCCTATCAGCTGTGGCCAACCCCAACTCCTTCAAGGTAAAGCCAGTCACTTCAAGGATACCATCCATACATCTTGCCCTTGTCTGGCCCCTCTTTCTTTTCCCTTTTTTCCCCCCAACATCATTCTCTTCTCTAGACTTTCCTGTCTTCTCATGATGTGGCCAAAGTACTTCATCCTTCCCTCCAGTGAGCAGCCGGGCATTATTTCCTGGAGTATGGACTGGTTTGATCTTTTTGTGGTCCATGGCTCAGAATTTTCCTCCACCACCACAGTTCAAAAGCATTATCTTCCTTCGCTTGTTTATGGTCCAGCTCTCGCATCCATAGGTTGCTACGGGGAATAACACTGCTTTAACTAGGCAGATCTTCGTTGCCAGTGTGATGTCTCTACCCTTAACTATTTTATTGAGATTGGTCATTACTCTCCTCCCAAGAAGTAAACATCTTCTAGTTTTTTGGCTGCTGTTTGCGTCTACAGTAATCTTTGTAACTAGAAATACAAAATCTGTTACTTCCTCCACGTTTTCTCCCTCTATTTGCCAGTTATCAATCAGTCTGGTTGCAATCAACTTGGTTTTTTTGATGTTTAACTGCAACCCAGCTTTTGCACTTTCTTCTTTCACCTACATAAAACTATATGCATACTTTAAAAAAGAAAGAACAATCAAGGCTTCTTTATTGAACACAAATAGAAGAACAACAGGCATATAAACATCTACAAATGGGTATATTTAGTAGAATACAGCGATAGAAACTTACCTGAACTTCAGGCCTTGAGGGGTAGCTAAAATGAATGTTTTTGAATTCAATTTCTCCTCGGAACTTATCTGGCTTGAACCCTTCATTGGAACTACTATCTATGGGACGAGGCTGAAATGTTCATTTGAAAGGATGTTATATTGCAATAGTTGTACAGACAGGTCTTTCATTTTCTCTCTAATGACAAAGAAGTGGAGGAGTGTAGTTCATCAAAGATCACACTATTTTCTGGTTCATCTAAAAGGGCTGGACTTTTGGTAATCATGACCGAAGGGACAAATAAGTTACAATGGGTTCAAAGGTCACAATTTGGATATGCAATAATAAAAGAAATCTCTCCCACACAGAAAGGTACACTATTGCTAGCTCCATGCAAATCTTTTATTGTAATTACTTAATAAAAATCTCATTATAAATCAATGACATAAGTACATAGAATAATAGAGTTGGAAGAGACCACTTGGGCCATCTAGTCCAACCTCTTGCTATGCAGGAAAAGCATAAAGTACTCTTGACAGATGGCCATCCTGCCTCTGTGTAGGCAGTCCCAAGTTACAGACAAGATAGGTTCTGTAGGTTTGTTCTTAAGTTGAATTTGTATGTAATTATTTATTTGTTGATTTATTTATTTCAGATATTTGTACCCCACCCTTCTCAACCCCTGGGGGGAGGGGCTCAGGGCAGCTTCCAGCCATCAACGAGTTGATGTCTTCATGTACACAAAATAAAACACATAATAAAAACCAATAATTACATACAGTTAAAACATTAAGTCAATTCAATTAAAATATGCTTAAATATAGCAGCCCTGTGGCCTTATCTAGTTAAATTATGTAGTTGGAGATTCCATCAAGCTTGTCCACAGTCCATTACCATAGCAATTGTCATCATTGTCATTGTCAGCAAAATTATATAAATCGGAACAGATACTTTTTAAAGTGTAATTCCAGCCAAAATGGTTTTTGAAAAGTTTTGGGATAGCATTGGGAAGTGTTAATACCCCTGTAACATTTCTTTTGCTGTCTGTGCCCCTATTCAAAAGATTTCACCTCACTTTCCCTCCCTGTGACAATTGGATTTTGAGAACAATTGTTTGCCTTGGAAACAAGGAAAGCTTAAGTGGAGACACTTTTTTCTCATGTTAACTCTTCCAGGAGTGAATTTTCCTAGATTTCCTCTCACTCCCAGTTGTCTCAGCCCCATTCTTAACTATGAGTAAGATGTAGTTGGATGTTTGTAGCTCAATGAATATCTGTTCATAAATTTTGTATCTTGCTTCAATGACATGTTGCCCATAACCCATTTCTACAAAGCATTTAGGACAAAACTGGCTGGGACATATTAAAAGCACTGGCATCTGCTAGTCACAAGTCTCTTAATCCAAGTTATGGCATGTTGCGTCTTATTCCCAGATCAAGTCTTGTGAATGCTAGCATTCATTTTACACCAGTGTTTCTCAAACTCTGTTCTTCCAGGTGTTTTGGGCTTCAAATCTCAGAAATCCCAGCATACTTATCAGCTGTTACGAATTGTGGGAGCTGGAGTCCAAAACACCTGGAGGAGCAGAGTTTGAGAAACACGGAGGGCCCTTCCACACAGTCTTATAACCCAGAATATCAAGGCAGATAATCCACAATATCTGCCTTGAATTGGATTATCTGAGTCCACACTGCCATCTAATCCAGTTCGATGTGGATTTTATACCTCTGTGTGGAAGAGGCTTGAATTACATTAATTGCCCTGGCTCAGTGCTATGGACCTTTGGGAGTTGAAATTTCGTGAAACATCAATTCTCCTCAACAGGGAGAATTGATGCTTCATTAATTAAAGACCTTGTAAACCTACAACTTCCATAATTCCATGGCAGTTAAAGTGATGCCAACACTGAATTAATTCTACAGTGTAGATGCATCCCTAGATGATATCAAACTTCTTTTATAAGATCCAAGGTATACAGTCATGTGGACTATTACAACAGTCATGTTATATGTCTTCGCCAATATATACCTGTGTGATGAGTTTGAAAACCTCATAGGCTGCACCACGAGCATTTGCCAGGCTTTCCAAATTTGGGGCTGCTTCTCCCATGGAAAATGCACCAACAAGCACAGAAAAAAATACCTGCAGAAAAAGAGAAAATAATTGCATACTGGGTCTTAGCAACTCACTGGCAGGTAATGTATGACAATCAGGGCTACAGTCACATATGGTGGAAATGGAACTGTATGAGCCAGGTTTATACAATATATCAGAATTAGTT